TACCATTTTTGGTCAAGAATTGTCGTACAGACAGGGCTGTGTGAGCAGGGGCATTGTCATGATGGAAAAACCAGTCACCCGACTGCCACAAATCTGGCCAATGAGCTCCAAGTCACTCCTGACAGCTCCACAATTTCTTCAGTGGTCCGTCGTCGATCTTCCTTGATGATTTCACGAATTTTTTCAACATTTTCATGTGTTCGGGCCGTGGAAGGATGACCAGAACAAAGTTTGTCATCAATTGACATTTCACCATTTTTGAAACGGGAAAACCACTCAAACACTTGAGTTTTCCCCATAGCATTGTCCTTGTACACCATTTTTAACATTTCAAGAGTTTCTGTTCCACTTTTCCTGAGCAAAAAGCAGAATTTCACCGCCGCACGCTGTTCACGAAAATCAGCCATTGCAAAAATGACGATCACACAAAACAGTTGTCACTATAAACTCTGCCGAAACTAGTCCTTACCTTCTGAAGCAACGGTAGTTGGCTTATCGACTCAGGAATGTTAGCTCTATGCGCTCATAGTGGCAAAACGCGGTACTACAAAAGCTCTGCCCACAAAAAAACATAGTTTGGTTTCTTTTGGGTACCCCATCGTAACTCTTCAGTTCATGAATCTTCATCATCTTGGTGTGAAACTTTGCCCTTGTGGGTCCCTGCACCTTTGTAATTCTTGTAAGATTTGAGGTTCTCACAGCAGTGGCTGAAGATTACTCTCTTCTGGGATGTGATGCCATATAGTCCGGTAGATCTTTAGCTACATTTCAGAGGAACATGCTGCCTCCGTTTTCGTGGTAGAACATTAATTCTTAATTCTCTACTGTTCATTGTAGGAATGAGTCAACTTTTTAAATGTTTTAGATGGGCATGGCACGCCGCATAATTGAGCATTCTGTTTTTGGAAATTTAAATGAAAATGTGGAGACAACAGGAAATACTTTGGTATCGTGGTAATAATTGTTAAACTGTTAGAACGTGGTGTGTGAAATATGTGTGGTAGTGTCTTATGAAAACATCTAGTATTGTGAGTGGTATTAGAACTCATCAGGTATTCTCATTCGTAATCATATAATGCACCAAGGCACTGACAAGAGTTCTTAGAAGTTTCTGAAGAGTCGTTTAAGTACTTCACCATAGATACACTCAACTCTCGATTATCCGGGATAATGGTGGGGATGGAAATCACGATTAATCGAAAACCCAGTTAAGACAAATTTTTTAAAAGTAGTACTGTAATACTGTACCTTCATAATACTATAGGCCTACCTGTATTTAAATTTATTCAACCTCATTTTTATGTCATTTCATGGCCTATTTAATACTTTTTTTACATTACACTGAAGTATGAATTAGTTATTTCAGTCAGTGTTCAATAACATCCAACACGTTTTACGAATATTCACAATTAACGCTTAAAAAAATTTAATATTATCGTTTGCTTTTTCATGGAATTTTCCTTTTTACCGATATCTGTATGAAGCCTACATAATATTAGCTTGTCACTTAATAAACTGTTCTCTGCACTCTCAAGATAGTCTAGTAAGGATTCCAAATGATTAAGAGCAGCACCATGTGATATTTTCTTACTAGCAGCACTGTCCACCTCTTCCTCATTCTCACTTTCTTCCCGCTCTTCTG